AGGTCCCTGTAGAGTATCCCTCCAACCCTGGTATGGACCTTTGGTTAGGTGACTGGAAAAAGTATGTTTGCATCACCACACTTGTGCTTCATTGAGAACTACAATTCTCTCTGTGAATGGATGAGGGGGCTCTGCAGGCAAAGCACAGTTATGCTAAATTGTTAAAAAATACCTAACAGGATGCTGCAGGAAGAATATGCCCTGGATTCTGTAAGATGGGGCAGTTTAGGAGTGGGGGCATTGGCCTGTTATCATGGTTCATATTACACCTTAAATATGGGTCTAACATGAAAAAAGGTCAGAAAGGTCGACTTAAAGCTGTGGACTGAAATATGAAAAGTCATTAAGTAATTATATTCAATTTGGAACTTAGAAATTAGTCGTATAGAATTTTTTTTTTTTTTAGCAAAGGCAGTTTTCTTTTAAAGAAAAGTGTTCTGCTCTAGGTAGGTAGTTTGATTAGATTGACCATTACGCCGTAAAGTGACATTAAACACTGTCTTTATTCTCTCCATATATAATCCACATACACACACTACTTGTAATCTATTTTTCATGCAATAGCTTTCCTGTGTGTTACTACCTCCTTGTAACGTTTTCTGTGAGCTCCCAAGCCCCTCTTTTTAATTTGTTTCTGTAATAACATTTTGCAAATACTAAATAATCTTTCTTCAGAAATTTAAGGCCAAAATGTATTCTGCTACATTTCCTGGGTACAAATAACCCAAATCAGTCTCTTTATGAGAGTTTATAGAGTCAAACTATGGTACATACAGCATATGAAAATTGATCAGTCCTGATCTCATTTCTTGAGCCCAAAAATGCCAGGACAGTACAAATATCCCCCAAATGACTTATTTTTGGAAAGTAAACTATTGGTATATATATTGGTGCAATATAGGAATATGAATAAGTCGGAAGTGACGAAACGCGACAACTATAGGCTGTGCGGCAACCGGAAGTGCCACTGGAGAGTCTGAGAGCAAGGACCAGCGGTGGTGAGAGCACTGTTCGGTCTTTTCTCTCTGGATTAGTAGAAATATATACATCTTTGGGCTTGATTCTATTAAACGTCTTGTAAGTAGCATTCTCTAGCGGATAATAAAGCATTTTAAGAAGCACTGCACCATGTGGGGTTTCCATTTTTTATCTTCTATGTGATATATGTGTGGAGTATTGGAAGGATAATTCCCTTTATTCCTGGAGACCATTGATCCATTGACTTTTCATAAGGCTAACGTACATATCATATAGGTAAGAATCATGGCGAGTTTTTGACGTAATTTTTTGTCACAACTTTTTGGAGTTTTTTTTTAAATTACATACAGTCATTAGTGCAGTACAGAGTCATCATATAACTATTGTGGTGGTGATCAGGGATACTGACGCGTGACAGTATGTTATACAAAAATTGTACTTTTTTTAAATTTTTTTTTATAATTTTTTTTTTTTATTACATTTTCTTCTTTTTTTACCATGATACCATAGTAGCACTGTATTCCTCTGGGGAGATCATCAGGATTATTTTTTTTTTGTCACTATGGTTGCTTATGACAGTGAGTATCAGTGTTATAAACAACCATTTTATTCAGAATGAAATTGATTCATTCAGTGCTTACTATTGTGATTAGCTGTGATTCACTACAGCGAATCACATGGTACAGATGGACTGTAATAGGCCCTGTCTGTACCATGTGATCACTGTGACCAATCACAGAGATCAACACATATTTACAGGAAAAAAATATACTAAAAATATACCCAATTCAAACACATTATACCCAATCTTTTATTTAAATATAAAAGATTAGGTTGCGTCGAGTAGATAGATACCAAGCATGAATGAACAATTAATTATGGCCCTAGAATTATTGCTCTCACTGCAACATGCGCAATGATACCTCATAAGGACCTGATTCTCCTATATAGATCTTTAGTTAGTCCTCATTTAGAATACTGTGTCCAGTTCTGGAGACCTCTTATAAAAAGGTATTGATAAGACAGAATGCGTCCAGGTAACAAAAATGGTGAAAGGTCTGAGGGATAAAACATATCAAAAGGGACTTCAGGAGCTTAACATGTACAGTCTGGAGGAAAGAAGGGAAAGGGGAGACATGATTGAAGGTTCAATAACCTTATAATAGGGTTCAGGAGGGTGGTATTTTCAACAGGAAACCAAATCAAGAACATGGGGACATGACCTTAAATTAACTTATTTTACTGAAAGAGTAGTTGATGCTTGGAATAAAGTTCCAGCAGAGGTAGTAGTCCAGTCAATAGTAAATTGCTTCAAATATGCTTGGGACAAGCATAGATCTATACTCAGATCTACACTTTTTTTATATGGAGAGTGTGCAGGGTCAAAAAAATTTAGAATTTTTATTACATTTATATAGATCTTTTTATCTATGTTATACTTTTTATTATATCATTTTTTATCTTCATTTCTATCACAAGGGGGCTAACATGCCCCCTATGTGATCACATGGGCAGGTGACAGGTACTCTTTATGGAGATATTGGGAGTCTTTTAGACCTCCAATGCCTCTCCTGCCCTCCAATGCAGCTATTCAAACACTAATTGTTTTTGAATAATTACAGCCTCGGCTACACTAGCCAAGCAATGACAGCTGTTACCCCTAAAGTGACATAATAGACGTTACTTCTAGGGGATTGGGGAATGGATGTTCCTCCTGCTTTAACTGGGGAAGCTGTCTCCCACAGTCTCAAATGGAGGAATGGAAGAGCTTCTAAACCACCGTGAATGCTGCCAGAGGGAGAGGGGCACACTTTGAGAGCCCCATAAAAGTGATCAGGTGGCTCTAGAGCTGCCTGACCACTTTTATCAGAAAGCCCTTAGCTGGCTTTTAAAGCTGGCACCAAGCTGACTGTGAGCTTCAGTAGTTAACAGCTGAATTTTGTATTTATTTTACAGGTTAAACTCGAAAAATTAGAATAACGTGCAAACGATCATTTAATTCAGTAATGCAACTTAAAAGGTGAAACTAATATATGAGATAGACTCATTACATGCAAAGCAAGATAGTTCAAGCCATGATTTGTCATAATTGTGATGATTATGGCTTACAGCTCATTAAAACCCCAAATCCACAATCTCAGAAAATTAGAATATTACATGCAATCAATAAAACAAGGATTGTACATAGAACAATATCGGACCTCTGAAAAGTATAAGCATGCATATGTACTCAGTACTTGGTTTGGGCCCCTTTTGCAGCAATTACTGCCTCAATGCGGTGTGGCATGGAAGCTATCAGCCTGTTGCACTGCTGAGGTGTTATGGAAGACCAGGATCCTTCAATAGCGGCCTTCAGCTCTTCTGCATTGTTCGGTCTCATGTCTCTCATCTTTCTCTTAGCAATGCCCCATAGATTCTCTATGGGGTTCAGGTCAGGCGAGTTTGCTGGCCAATCAAGCACAGTAATCCCATGGTCATTGAACCAGGTTTTGGTGCTTTTGGCAGTGTGGGCAGGTGCCAAGTCCTGCTGCAAAATGAAGTCAGCATCCCCATAAAGCTCGTCTGTGGAAGGAAGCATGAAGTGCTCCAAAATCTCCTGGTAGACGGCTGCGTTGACCCTGGACTTAATGAAGCACAGTGGACCAACACCAGCAGATGACATGGCTCCCCAAATCAACACAGACTGTGGAAACTTCACACTAGACTTCAAGCATTTGGAGTGTGTGCCTCTACATTCTTCCTCCATACTCTGAGTCCTTGGTTTCCAAATGAGATGCAAAAAATGCTCTCATCAGAAAAGAGGACTTTGGACCACTGAGCAACAGACCAGGTCTGTTTTTCTTTAGCCCAGGTAAGACGCTTCTGACGTTTGTTGTTCAGGAGCGGCTTGACAAGAGGAATACGACATTTGAAGCACATGTCCAGGATCCGTCTGTGTGTGGTGGCTCTTGATGCACTGACTCCAGCCTCAGTCCACTCCTTGTGAAAGTCCCCAACACTTTTGAATGGCCTTTTCCTGAAAATCGTCTCCAGGCTGCTGCTGCGGTCATCCCTGCTGCTTGTGCACCTTTTTCTTGCACACTTTTCTGTTCCACGTAACTTTTTATTAATGTGCTTTCATACAGCACTTTGGGAACATCCAACGTCTTTTGCAATTACCTTATGGAGGGTGTCAATGATGGTTTTCTGCACAACTGTCAGGTCAGCAGTCTTTCCCATGATTGTGATTCCTACTGAACCAGACTGAGAGTCTGAATGTCTACATATGAAATATGACATACCTGCTGGGATGGTTCAGGAGATATTATTTTCTGCTCTCCTGTGGATCTCAGCTAGGGGATGTAATATACCAAGCGATTTGTATTAAAGTGAGCCATCCGAACATGTGCTCCATGTTTGTGTAAGTCTTCCATATTCCAAGATATATAATCATAGGGGAAAATGGATGTTGCATGTGGTGTCTAGTTTATGACTTATCTGGAATGTCTTTGAACTCAGAGAAGGACTCGGTTTACGCTTTTATGATCCCTTTCCAAGCAAAGGTTCATAGACAGAGGGGCACCAAGCTAGTGAGGTTTTATAGCCAGGACACCCTCCCACTGAGTGTGTTGCCTGTGATCTCTGCAAACACACACCGACCACATGTCACTCAACAGAGAGGGAGGGGGATGAGGAAAGAGGGAGAAATAATTTATACAAGATGGATGGTCCTTTGCCAAAATGGAGGTTCCCATCCATCTCTGTGTGCATGATTGCTACACTGATCAGCAAGTTTACAGCCAAAATAAAGGGCTGTAACTTAGTGACAGACTCGTGCTGTGGCCAATCACAGCACAGATCAGCAGGGGGCATGCACAGTGTGCCCGAAAACCAGGAAGTAATCCACAACATACCCGTACATCGCTTAGCATGGAGCTGCCGCCTACCCAAGTGGTAAATATTTTCTGTAAAGTTGTTAATCAGAGCAACACACAAAATATGCAGCATGTAGAACAAAAGCAAATAAAATCAATTCACTTACACTTGCATTTGTCTACGTTGTAGCATTTTCGGCTTTCTCTGGCTTCCCCTTCACACCACTTTCCTTCAAACCTTGTACCAACACATTGGCGTTTCCTCTGCTGCAGCGCTACTTTTTGTTTACATCTAACCAGATCTTTTGTAAGACGTTTGCATTCTGTCCATTCATTCCAATCAGTCCATGTCCCATCAACTACAAGGAAGGAAAAAGAGATTGTGTTTTAAGTTGTTGGGAGAGCAAACATCGTTAAAAAGAACAGCCTATAAGGAACTGTACGGTTTTTTTTTAAGATGTTGAGAGAACTGGAGGCTAAGTACTGCAGAGGAAAGGGTGCTTCTCCATTCCAACTGGCTGTCAGGATAATATTAGTGATGCAGGGTTCGAAGGATAGAACCATGACACTCCAGGAAAAGGTTGAATTCCAAAGACACTGACAGGCTGCAAAGCTGGTCAGATGGGAAGTAGGAGACAGGGGCTACCAGAGAAGTTTAAAAACTTTTCTATTGCAGGGACCTTTATTCTGGATCTTTTGAAAAACCGACAGGGTTTTTAAAAGTGTGTTTGAATTGAAAAATATGTGCCTCAGCCCAAGCCCCTACACATCAAGTCAACTCAAGGGTTCCACAAATCCCTAGGCATATTGGAATGGAAATATTGACCAGATTTCCTGTTTGATGACCTTCTCCCCAACAACTCCACCTCCTATTGGTGTGACTGCCCATCATAGTGATAGGCCTGTGTAAAGGTTTTGGCTGCCTTTGGGCACTTATGGCTACATTTGGCAGAGAACTGTAGGAACACAGGAGAAGATGAGAGTAGTCATGAGGCTTTTTACAGTTCAGGAAAACATGAAACATGCTTTTTTAAGTGTCACTTTAAGATGATTAAAAAGCCTCCTCTGATCCAACATACATTATGTTATTATACAAGTACACATTATTGCAAATTAGTATTTTAGGAATTGCATTTCAAATATTCCTTATGCCCCACAGACATCTCTACTTACTTGGACATGGTTCTCCTGTATTGCAGATAATATGTCTGGTAGGAGATCCAAGACAATAATTTCCTCCATGCTTGGGAGCTGGACTGTTGCAAGATCTCTTCTGCCCCTCCCGTCCTATGCCACAGGTGACTGAGCACTCTGAATTCTTCTCCCATGGTCCCCATTGTCCATCCACTGTGGAAATAACACAGATCATGATGATGACAGGGAGGAAACAGCTAAATGGGAATACATGGTAATAGACAGCAGATGACCTATTCTTAGGACATGAAAATTACAAAGTTTACACAAAAGGAAAAATGTATTTTGGAGATAGATCTTGACAATGTATAAAGACTTTCTATTCTATAATACTGATGGGCCGAACACCCCCCGGTTTGGTTTGCGGTCAAACATAACAAAAGTTCACCGCGAACATTGAATATAATGCAAGTCTATGGGACTTGAACTTGTAAATTCAAAAGTGACCATTTTGAAGGCTTATATGCAAGCTATTGGTCATAAAAGGGGTATGGGTACTCGTGTACAGCCCGGAGGGACATGAATCAGTGAAAATCTTTTTTCAAAAAGTACCATTTTAAAAGGGGCAGTCATTTTTCATTGGATAAAGTAAAACAAAATGAAATATTCCTTTAAATATCATGCCTGGGGAGTCCCTGTAAAACTACCTGCAAAGTTGCACATCTGTACAATGTATAGAACCTGCTGCAGCAGGACTGACATATTTTTTTTAAATGACATGTTTATTTTAAAAAAACAGCGTGGGTTCTCTCCCCCCCCCCCCCAATCTATACCAGATTTTTTTTAATGCATTTGTTATCCACTCCACCACATCTTCTGCATTTTGTGGCTCTATAATATGGCCAGCACCGGAAAAAAAGGACAAGAGTGCCCTGCCTACAGAGGATACACCATGTCCACGACCACCAACATGGACACAGAGGCTGCTTGCCCTGTCTTAGCTGCCTGTGAGCAGCTGCCTCTCCTTCATGGCCTTTCGCACATTATGGGGATTTTTTTGGGGATTTATATCACTTTATATTTCTGTGCGGAATTGGATTTTGGTGCTTGGGTGCAATGTGTTTGTACTTGGTGAACTATAAACTGTTTTATTATTTTTTTTTCTCCTACAACACTGCGCAAAGCTGACGCTACAACACTGCGCAAAGCTGACGCTACAACACTGCACAAGGCTGCCACTGTAACACTGTGCAAGGCTGCCCCTATAACACTGCGCAAGGCTGCCCCTATAACACTGCACAAGGCTGACGTTACAACAATGCGCAAGGCTGCCGCTATAACACTGCGCAAGGCTATCCCTATACCCCTATAACACCGCGCAGGGCTGCCCCTATAACACTGCACAAGGCTGCCACTGTAACACTGTGCAAGGCTGCCCCTATAATACTGCCAAAGGCTGCCCCTATAATACTGCGCAAGGCTGCCACTGTAACACTGTGCAAGGCTATCCTTATACCTCTATAACACTGCTCAAAGCTGACCCCTACAACAATGTGCAAGGCTGCCCCTATAACACTGCACAAGGCTGACACTACGACAATGTGCAACGCTGCCCCTATAACACTGCACAAGGCTGACACTACGACAATGTGCAACGCTGCCCCTATAACACTGTGCAAGGTTATCTCTATACCCCTATAACACTGCGCATAGGTTATCTCTATACCCCTATAACACTGCGCAAGGTTATCTCTATACCCCTATAACACTGCGCATAGGTTATCTCTATACCCCTATAACACTGCGCAAGGTTATCTCTATACCCCTATAACACTGCGATAGGTTATCTCTATACCCCTATAACACTGCGCAAGGTTATCTCTATACCCCTATAACACTGCGCAAGGTTATCTCTATACCCCTATAACACTGCGATAGGTTATCTCTATACCCCTATAACACTGCGCAAGGTTATCTCTATACCCCTATAACACTGTGCAAGGTTATCTCTATACCCCTATAACACTGCGATAGGTTATCTCTATACCCCTATAACACTGCGCAAGGTTATCTCTATACCCCTATAACACTGCGCAAGGTTATCTCTATACCCCTATAACACAGGGCAAGGTTATCCCTATACCCCTATAACACTGAGCAAGGCTGCCCCTATAACACTGCACAAGGTTATCCTTATACCTCTATAACACTGCTCAAAGTTGACCCCTACAACAATGTGCAAGGCTGCCCCTATAACACTGCGCAAGGTTATCCCTATACCCCTATAACACTGCGCAAGGCTGTTCCTATAACACTGCACAAGGTTATCCCTATACCCCTATAACACTGCACAAGGCTGCCGCTATAACACTGCACAAGGCTGCCCCTATAACACTGCACAAGGCTGCCCCTATAACACTGCACAAGGTTATCCCTATACCCCTATAACACTTGCCAGGGCTGCCCCTATAACACTGCACAAGGCTGCCACGGTAACACTGTGCAAGGCTACCCGTATAATACTGTGCAAGGCTGCCTCTATAACACTGCGCAAGGTTATCCCTATATACCCTATAACACTGCGCAAGGCTGCCTCTATAACACTGCACAAGGTTATCCCTATACACCTATAACACTGCGCAAGGCTGCCCCTATAACACTGCGCAAGGTTATCCCTATACCCCTATAACACTCCACAAGGTTATCCCTATACCCCTATAACACTTGCCAAGGCTGCCCCTATAACACTGCACAAGGCTGCCACGGTAACACTGTGCAAGGCTACCCGTATAATACTGTGCAAGGCTGCCTCTATAACACTGCACAAGGCTGCCACTGTAACACTGTGCAAGGCTACCCTTATAATACTGTGCAAGGCTGCCTCTATAACACTGCACAAGGCTGCCACTGTAACACTGTGCAAGGCTACCCGTATAATACTGTGCAAGGCTGCCTCTATAACACTGCACAAGGCTGCCACTGTAACACTGTGCAAGGCTACCCGTATAATACTGTGCAAGGCTGCCTCTATAACACTGCACAAGGCTGCCACTGTAACACTGTGCAAGGCTACCCGTATAATACTGTGCAAGGCTGCCTCTATAACACTGCACAAGGCTGCCACTGTAACACTGTGCAAGGCTACCCGTATAATACTGCGCAAGGCTGCCTCTATAACACTGCGCAAGGATAACGCTATAGCACTGCGCAAGGCTGCTCCTATAACACACTACACAACACTGCTGTATAAGCAGCCTTATATACATGTGGGATGTGGACTTAGCCACCACAGCCAGTCATGGCTCTTCCTGTGAACTCAAGCTGTGATTGGCTGAAGCATTGCACCTGACAAAACTACAAGTCCGATATGCCATTGTAGAAGAGGTACTATGGTTCCTAAAGAAGTCCATTATTGTAGTCCATTAATACTTCCCCTAGCTGTGAACCTGTATAGACCAGGGATTGGAGGAAGAGTCTGTAGGAGCACCTATAGTCCACTTCCCAAGAGCTGTTGCTCAGTGACTTTTCAAGAAGAGTTAGTTGCTAAGAGAGGGTGTCCTCCTATTTTTGTTCATCATTCTGGAGTATCCCACTTCTCCCTCTGCCCCAACCAAGTTATATAGCAATAAATTCAGAAAAAACAATCCCCTTGACTACTTATTTAGCCAGAAGTGTGGATACTATTGTGTGCATGGTTGCTCTTACACTGTGTGAAAGGTGTACCTGAGATCAGGTAGCAGGATCAGTCAGTGTTTGCTCTACATGTGGGGGCTCATCCGGGATTTTCCTGTAAGAATGCAGCCATTGCTATTAGTGACTTGTGGCTAAGAATCATGCAGAACTGTTCATTGTTAATGGAGGCAAGGAAAAGGCTGCTGCTCCACTTCGTGGAGTTTGCTGCCAGACACGGTACCCAATGGGTAACAAAGAGTTAAACTGCCTGGGCAGGAAGAGCCAGCTTGGTGGGGCTAGAGATTGGTGCCAGGAGCCCTGGAGAAGGGGCGGAGTTCTTGTGCATGTAGAGGAACGCAGAAGTGGAGAGACTTTAGTTAAGTAAAAAGTATAGAGAGCATCAGGTGGACTTGTCTCCTCCTATTACCTGGGCCAGAGCCCTTTTTCAAGATGAGGTCTATCATGGTCTAATCAAAAGAGACAGCAATCATTCTTGCCTGGAAGGGGGAAACTTAAAGATCTTCAACGGAGGAATAGAAGGCATAGCAGCCACTGGTCTTACAAATAAGAAGCCAAAGAGAATTAATGGTTTAATTTGAAAATGAGTAGTCTATTTCAGAGCAACAACTGAGTGAACCAAAAGATGGATGACATATTCAGTGAAGTTAGGAAATCAGCAACAAAGACATACAATGTAAAGATAAAAGTATCACCATATAAGTGATGGTGGTGGTGGGACTCACAGGAACACAAATATTAAAGTATGTTTCAGCACTTGTAGAAGACACCAAAGGATTTATCATTATTGTTTTTTGTACACTATTGATTTTTTTCAAAGTTTTTTTTATGTATTTATGGATATGTTTAGACACTGTTTTTTGGAGTTTGTATGAATTTGTGAACATAAGGTAGGTGGACACAAACAAGTTTTTACACCAATTATTATTTGCATACGCAGGTGGATCATGTTTTCTATCACTATACTTGATGATTGTTTATCAGGATTAAGATTTTATATTAGTCTTGTTTTATTTGTAGCATTTCTTTCTTCACAGTCTTATGCGTATATACTTGTCAAAGTTCAAGTAAGTAGAATGTTCGTTCAATGAAAATCAAGACATTGACATGATACTCAAATGATAAGTCATTTAAATTTAGTCGCGTCCATGGAGGCACTATTAAATGGGCAAAAAAACAATGTTTATACCTTCATGTCTGAACATTCAAACAAATTTCTACAGGTGTATGACCAGCATAATAACAGCAGTAACTAGCAATTATAAAAATCAGGCAGAGTTGGTAATACTGGGGTGTGCATGCCTCCATGACATCATCCTGAGGACATAAGAGCTCCTCAAAAAACATAATTGTTACAACCCTAAGAGTTAGTTGCTCACCTGGACAAAAGGGAAGGCTAGTGCAATCTCTGGAGTCTTGATTTTTCCCTGGGCATGGATTTCCCGGAGGACTGGTTGAAGGACTCGGGTTGTTGCACTGTCGGAATCGGGATTGAGTTGGAAATATTCCAGAACCTTCTACAATGCAAACGGAGGAGCATTGGCCCCAGTCTTCCCAGTTACCCCATTGTCCATGAGCTGGTGGGAGAAAAAAATGCAATAAAATATCTAAAAGCCATTATTACGCTTTATTGTCAGGTAATTTAAGCACGTATTTTTGGCAAATTACCAAGTCAAACACAGCCTTTATTTATTAATTGAAGTTCAAAATGTTCTGAACCTGGACAGGTCTTTACTGTTGTCCCTGACCCCAGTAAGGATATCTAAGCCCACCATCTCTAGTACCTTGATATTTGTGAGTACAGCTGCCTAGGTCTTCTGTGTGAATTGTACTCGCCATATATTTCTAAGGAGAATTCTCAAACGAGTGATGACATCAATGTTATGGTGTCTCCAGTTCCTAAGGAGGTAAGAGATGCCATTTTTCCAAAATACTGGCCACCCGTTATTTTGTATTTGGAAACTGTAATGGGCAAATTTCTTCATATCCTCACTACAAGATGTCACTGACTCACAGTTGAAACACTTAAGTCATTTTTTTTCTAATTATGTAGCATCCACAGGAAGGAACACAACTCTGTCATTTGTGTATATATAAAAACAGTTGAGAGGAACTGCCAATTCTTCTGGGGATATTTCACCAAAAGTTTTGGATGGAGCTGATCTTTACATTGATTTTAGTGCTCATATCAAAGCTATAAAAAGTACACAGCAAAGTGTATTAAAAGATTCAGGTTACCTACTTGGGCAAACTTTAGCGGTGTCACAGTTTTCAACCTCTTCAGGTTTATTGGGACATGACCCTCCGCACACTGGAGTTGGACTATTGCATTGCCGGGTGCGTTTCCTCTCTCCGCGTTCACAGGTCACAGAGCAGGGAGACCATGCGCTCCATTGTGCCCAGCCTCCAGCATCTGTCAATTAACAATATCCAATAATACAAAAACATCAGCGAATATGGGAAGTGATCCTAAAGGGGTAGTGACAGACTAAATGCACAATTTGAAAATGTATTGCTTTATTTGACAAGGAGTTTCAGTGTAATGCCAAAAATCAGTAAGCATGGAATTCATTTCCCTAAAGTTAACTTGTCTAAGCACAGAATGAACAAGTTGCATGCAATCTTTTGTTTTTCTCCATTAACTGCAATACTTCTCCCTTCTTGCCATTTCCTGGGAATCTGTTATTTGTCATTGCCTGCAGCAAAGTTAACTAGATGCCCCATGCACAGAGTTTAGAACTAAATAAATACTGTAAAAGAGGGCACTCATCTCTTACCAATACCTTAAAGTAGGTTTTCTCAACCAGGGTTTTATGGGACCCTAGGATTCATTCAGAGGTTGTTGAGTATTTCTTCAGCAATATGTCTCTCCGATAAGTTCCCACTGATACCATTGATCTCTTTAGCTGCCTGTAATGGGGTAATCTTCCCACTGACCACAAGTGTAAGAGGCATTCTTCCCAGTGACCATCCCTCCGATGTATCCTGTTGTTTTTTAAGCTATAGTAATTTTTAGTAGGGGTTCCCTGAGCCCAGCAAGTTATTTGTACGGTTCCTCTTTGTTGAAAGGGTTGAGAAAGGCTGCCTTAAAGTGAACCTGTGGCCAGACTATGCATTTTAAGGAATTTACATATTCTAAACAACCAACCTTAAAGCTAGCCTCATTCACCCTTGTAGCTATAGGCATTGTGGATAAACTCATCTTCAAAGTTCAAAACAAAGGCACTGCAATTATAGTCTATTTAAACCTAAATTACCTTTGGAGCAATCCTTGCCGCCCCTCTATAAACTGATCCAAGTGGATCAGAGGGCTGTTGACAGTGACTAGGAAGCTCCTCAGTGACCATTTTAACCCATGAAAGCCAGCACCATTGCACTGCAACCATGCACATGGTTGAAGGGAGGTTGTGGTTCAGCCCCTTTCACTTGAATAAGTTGCATTTCGCAGTAGTACTGCCCATTGAATGTGACAGGGGGTATAAGGTTGCCAGGGCATGTGTGCAACCCTGTCCAGCTGCCTTTTCAGCTTGAAGGGGGCAGTAAAACTGTGGCTCAACCAACTATTTTTATAGTTCCTCCCCACCCCCAACATCAAGGGTAAATAAGCCCTTTACTTACTACTGTAAAATCTTGACAGCCTGACAACCTTCTAATATAAATAAATAGTGAGTATTTCTAAAAAGTGAATATATGAGTGTTGATTCATACAAGAGCATGGTGCCGAAACCCGCGTTACGTGCATCTTTACTACACCATGTTCAAAATGCACTGCACTTATGATCTGCAGAGGGGTGTCAGTACAATGCTAATGACCCCCCCCCCCTACAATGCTAATGACCCCCCCCCCCTAATTTCAGTGCGTTTGCCTGCACCAGATTGCATAGTACAGAAGTACCATGCAATCCGGTTGTGCATTTGTAAAGTAGTGCATGTGATCTGCCTTGATTTCAACCCATTCAAATTAATGGGCTGAAATTGCACTGCACCTAGATTGCAAGTAAATTGCACCTGCCCAAACTCACTTTTGGAACCTATCTTTTGGTCTTTGAGAATTAATTACTTCACAGTACAAACAGCTAGAGAGGTCAGGGATGACTTGTTTTAAAGCTCTTGTACTGCTTGCTAGGAATATGTAAATACTTTAACCACTTGCCAGAGGATTTACCTCCCTTCCTGACCAGGCCATTTTTTGCGTTACGGTGCTGCGTTACTTTAACTGACAATTGCGCAGTCATGCAATGCTGCACCCAAATTAAATTTACGTCCTTTTTTCCCCATGAATTAAGCTTTCATTCAGTGGTATTTGATTGCCTGTGCAGTTTTTTTATTTTTTACGTTATAAAAAAAAAAAGACGGAAATTTTGAGAAAATATTTTTTAATTTTTGCTATTAAATATGTCCAGGCACATTTCAGTACCTAAAAGAAAATGAGGATTTGTTTGTTAGATTTGATGAATGGAGGTATAATCAGTTATTACACTTTGTTGCAAATTTACCACAACCACTGAGGGAGGGAGAAGAAATGAATCCATTTGAACAATTAATGAATGCTGATGTAAGCCCAAAACATATCACCCCACGGGAAAAAAAGGATCCTTATGGATTTGGAGGAAGTAGAGCCCCCTGCATACTTGGACAAATGGGAAAAGGAATTAGGAATAAAAATCAATCCCCAGCAAAGGAAAGGTATCTGTTCTGGCCCCACATGAAGGCGAATGAAGGTATATCTGATAATGGCTGTGTAACTTCCTACCTTCGTATCCAAGCAGTGGAGCAGACCGGACCGGCAGATGTTCAGGTTAGATGGATCCAAACGTATACACGGGAATGAAATCAGCGTGGGTTTATTTGGTCCAAAATACAGCGACAAACAGTGATACAATACTGTAAGGTAGTAGAGGTATTGATGCTGTCCTGTGATATCTTTCCTGAGGCTAACTGCTGGTCAAAAACTGATGCCTTCACAAGCCCAGGGTATTGAATGTCCTGTCACACAGCTATATAGCAGATAAAAATGGCTGCAGGAAGTGACCAGAACCAAGGCTTGCCTAAAACCACACCCAGCAGAGAAAACACTTACTAGCTATAACAGAGGCATGCAGCATGCAAATTCTGGCCAGCAGATGGCAGCAACAGATCAAGACATAGAAACAAACATGGTGAAATAAGAATTGGTGATACAATGCACAGTTAAATAACAAATATGAGGGGAACAGCACACTCCCCGTCTGAAATTCCATAAGGGATTTCACTATGACGAATGTCCATAAAATATAAAACAACCTGTAACAAAGAACATGTTAGAATGCAATAAACATAACAATATAGTAGATTCCGAGTTGGAATAGAGAAGAACCACAAAGTTCAAGTTCAGGAGAGTTCACCCAGCAGGAATGTTCTCGATGGGTAGTATCAAAATGAGTTCGTTAATTGGCCTTGCGAATATTTTAAGCTCACCCTTTCTGAAGATCTTCAACTCCACTTTACGGACCTTGCCATCCTTGCTAGGAAGAACCTTTGTAATTAGTCCCATAGGCCAGTCAATCCGTACGGTATGTTGCTCCTTCATTAACACGAGGTCGCCTTCTTTTAGGTTTGGTTTGTGGTGTTGCCACTTTCTTCTTCCTTGAAGAATATTGAGATACTCCTTTCGCCACCTGTTCCAGAAGTAATCAGCTAGGTATTGTACACGTTTCCAGTGTTTTTGGTACGTATTCGCATGAGTAAATTCTCCACTAGGTAATAGCGTAATCTCAGTTTTTTGGGTAAGTAGGATAGCTGGAGTCAGTACGGCTGGTGTTTCAGGATCCATAGATACTGGCACGAGGGGTCTAGAATTGATGATGGCTGAAACTTCAGCGAGAAGGGTGACTAGAGTCTCATGTGTGAGTCTTGAAGAGTTTACATCCATCAACATAGAATTCAAGATGTTGCGTGAGATCCCGATCATTCTCTCCCAGGAGCCCCCCATGTGGGAACTATGAGGAGGATTGAAAATCCAGGTGCAACCCTTTTCCGCCAAGTGATCTTGAATGGATTTGGTGTCTATGTTCATTTCTCTACAGCTCCAATGAAGTTGCTTCCACGGTCAGACCTCAACTGTTTCACTGGTCCTCTGATTGCGAAGAACCGTCTTAAGGCATTAATAAGGCTGGATGTGTCCATGGATTCTATGACCTCTAAGTGAACAGCTCGCACACTCATGCAAGTAAATAGTACAGCCCAACGCTTACTGTTTGCGTGACCGCCACGGGTCCTGCGTGCGGACACCATCCATGGCCCGAAGACGTCTAGGCCAACGTAGGTGAAAGGCGGCTCTGTACATAGTCTGTCCGCAGGCAAATCAGCCATTTGTTGGTGTAGTTGTTTTTTCCTCTAGCTTTGCGACAGTGAACACAGTCATGCAGTACTTGGGCCACACGTCTTTTCATACCTATAATCCAAAGGCCAGCAGACCGTAACTTGCCCTCAGTGATTTGCCTGCCCTGGTGTTCAGTCTTTTTGTGGTAGTGTCGGATCAGCAAGACGGTGATATGGTGTTTGCTGGGAATGATGAGAGGATTTTGTTCTGCAACTCTTAGGTGGGCTTGATTCAAACGACCACCAACTCTGAGCAAGCCAAAACTGTCAATAACTGGATTTAAGTTGGCAAGAGGGCTTTTTATTGGAATCTGCTGTTTGTTGTACAAGCACTTCCATTCTACATTGAATTCCCCTTGTTGGACGTGACGTATTATGAGGGACTCACTATGAGAGATGTTCTCCGCAGAGAAGGGTTTATGGCAGACGTGCCAACCGTGACAATCCTTATCTTCGTGAGTATTGTGATAACATTTCGCAATGTGCACTAACCTTGCGATAGTCCTGACGAGTCTCATCCAACTGGAGAAACGTTCAAAGCGCTGGCAACCGAGGCTGGAGGTTTGCTTTGTTCCAGTGACCAATGCACTAACTTCAGCGCGGATTTCTGGATCATTATCCGGATCCTGGATGCTGAAAACTTCCTGTACACATTCGTCCGCCTGTCTTAGCAGAAACTCCGGACCTGTAAGCCAAGTAGAGTTAGTAAAGGAACCTACTGACATAGGTCTAGTGGCATGATATACTCCGAATGAAGGCAAGTAGCAGCACTTGTCGTTCTTCCTTAAGGATGGAGCTGGTTCTGCATGGTTGTTACGGAATATTTTATCCATAAAGGCAACGATGTGTTCTCTCATTTCAGGCTTGCTGTTCATGGTACGCTGAAGAGAGTTAAATCTAGACAGAGCTTGTTCCCGGTTGTTCGGGAGTCTTACCCTGGTAGCTCGAAAGGGTAATGGAGAAACCCAGTGATTGGTTTCGTCTTTAAAGAACTCACTGTCCATTATCTCGACAAATTCTCTGTCCTCTACTGACAAGGCTACTTTATCGTCG